TCTCAGGCCTTGCCTTCTCAGCCCGTGCATTCTCAGGCCTTGCCTTCTCAGCCCGTGCATTCTCAGGCCTTGCCTTCTCAGCCCGTGCATTCTCAGGCCTTGCCTTCTCAGCCCGTGCATTCTCAGGCCTTGCCTTCTCAGCCCGTGCATTCTCAGGCCTTGCCTTCTCAGCCCGTGCATTCTCAGACCTTGCCTTCTCAGGCCTTGCATTCTCAGGCCTTGCCTTCTCAGCCCGTGCATTCTCAGACCTTGCCTTCTCAGCCCGTGCATTCTCAGACCTTGCCTTCTCAGCCCGTGCATTCTCAGACCTTGCCTTCTCAGCCCGTGCATTCTCAGACCTTGCCTTCTCAGCCCGTGCATTCTCAGACCTTGCCATCCCAGCCCGTGCATTCGCAGGCCTTGCCTTCTCAGCCCGTGCATTCTCAGGCCTTGCCTTCTCAGCCCGTGCATTCTCAGACCTTGCCTTCTCAGCCCGTGCATTCTCAGGCCTTGCCTTCTCAGCCCGTGCATTCTCAGGCCTTGCCTTCTCAGCCCGTGCATTCTCAGGCCTTGCCTTCTCAGCCCGTGCATTCTCAGGCCTTGCCTTCTCAGCCCGTGCATTCTCAGACCTTGCCTTCTCAGGCCTTGCATTCTCAGGCCTTGCCTTCTCAGCCCGTGCATTCTCAGACCTTGCCTTCTCAGCCCGTGCATTCTCAGACCTTGCCTTCTCAGCCCGTGCATTCTCAGACCTTGCCATCCCAGCCCGTGCATTCGCAGGCCTTGCCTTCTCAGCCCGTGCATTCTCAGGCCCTGCCTTCTCAGCCCGTGCATTCTCAGACCTTGCCTTCTCAGCCCGTGCATTCTCAGGCCTTGCCTTCTCAGCCTGTGCATTCTCAGGCCTTGCCTTCTCAGCCCGTGCATTCTCAGGCCTTGCCTTCTCAGCCCGTGCATTCTCAGGCCTTGCATTCTCAGCCCGTGCATTCTCAGACCTTGCCTTCTCAGGCCTTGCATTCTCAGGCCTTGCCTTCTCAGCCCGTGCATTCTCAGACCTTGCCTTCTCCGCCCGTGCATTCTCAGGCATTGCCTTCTCAGCCCGTGCATTCTCAGGCCTTGCCTTCTCAGCCCGTGCATTCTCAGACCTTGCCATCCCAGCCCGTGCATTCGCAGGCCTTGCCTTCTCAGCCCGTGCATTCTCAGGCCTTGCCTTCTCAGCCCGTGCATTCTCAGACCTTGCCTTCTCAGCCCGTGCATTCTCAGACCTTGCCTTCTCAGCCCGTGCATTCTCAGACCTTGCCTTCTCAGCCCGTGCATTCTCAGACCTTGCCTTCTCAGCCCGTGCATTCTCAGACCTTCCCATCCCAGCCCTTACCTTTCCAGCCTTTGCCAAGCTTTATGCAAGGCTCGTCCAGTGCTGCTACAGGCCTGCTTCGCATCCCTGGGATGCATGTGGAGGCAGTCAACGACAATCACACTGTGGGTGTAAATTGCCAAGAAGGACCTGTTTCATTTGATGATGATGAGTTATCCGAAGGGGATTCTTTCTGTGATTCGGAATCAGAAGAGAGTGACTGGGACAGTGATGATTTTATCGACACTCCAGCACCTCTTGCACGCAACAGCAACACCGAAGCGGAGGCCGGCTTAGAGCCTAACCTACAGCCACCCAATTCCTCTGCCCCACCCAGCTCTTCCCAGCAGCCATCAAGTGGCCAGCCACCCTCATCCTCGTTGCCCACAGCTTTCCAACATTTCTCCGCTTCCCCGTTGCCCTCATCATCGCACCATCCAGCCCCTATGCCATCCGTTGGACCCACCCACATACCCGCCGCTGCTCATGTGCCATCTTCTACCCCAATTGCTGCACCACAACAAGCGCATGCCGCTGGACAGCAATCTGCCCAGAGAGCTCGTGATGCTCGTGTGAGCCGTCCAGCCACGGACACGGTGCCACGAGCTCTCTACGACGCGGAATGTGCGCGCAACCGTGAGTTGGCAAGGGAGATTTTGGAGTTGAAAGCGCAGCTGCAGCGGCGCAATACTAACAATGGCGGTGGGGCAGAGCAACGTCATGGGCTCCAACATGTGAGGGATAACAGCGTTGCAGCCCCTGCTGTTATGCCTCAACGACGGAGATCGTGGCCGAGGTCGCAGCGTGCGTTTCAGAGAGAGGTTGCGCGAGAGTACCGTCATGGCGGAGTTGTGGATTTCGAGACACTCACTCCGAACCAGAGGTCCTGGGCTGCCAGTGTAATACGGGCATTCAACGCCGTTCCTGATGATGACGCTTCCATCACAGTAAGTTTCATGCAGTTCTCCCCTTTATCATTCAAATTGTCCTGCCACGTTCTTTGTGTTGCTACATTGTTGGAGTGGTTTGATTATGGCTGCATGTCTTGTCACTTACTGCCATGCTAACTGTTTTTCAACCTTAAGCTATAACTTTCCATCGATCACCCTTGCCATTACTCCTTCCCGTTTCCCCTTGCCAGGACTACATGAAGAAGGCGTGCGACATCTTGTTCTTCCAAACAAACCACGCTGACTTCAACATGTGGCCTTCAAATGAGAAGTTGCTGGATGCAGTGTTTACGGCCCTAGAGTGGACAACTGATCAGCAGCGGACACACCTGGCCCTGGTGTTCGAACTTGACAAGAACTTTCGAAAGGCCCTACGCGCCCGTGTCGCAAAGTGGCGAAACCAGGTGCTTACCAAGGGCCGGCGGAGCGTGTACGAAAGCTTCGATCTTCTGGTCAACCGGCCTACACCAGGACGGGAGGAGAAGGGAAGCCTTACTCGTGAGGCTTTCCTTGCACAATTCAGCGCAAGTACGTATGGAATTTCTTTGGGTTGTGTTTGTAGCTCATGCCTTCCATGTGTGTTTCTGTACTCCCTCTACACTTATTCTTCCCTTGGCACCATGTGAAGTTTTCTACCGATCTTACACGTGATGGTGGCGTATCTCCCCATCCCCTCTCCCCCCTGCCCCTCCCCCCTGCCCCTACCTGCCCATTCTTGTCTTATGGCTTGCGACACTGTACATCGTTTGCACTTCTGAAGGCATCGCCATCTATTCTCCAACCAATGCCCTATGCCAATCTTCAGAAAACTTTCCCCCATGTATTCGTCCTGCACACATGACCTCATGCCAACTTCACGTGTTCGACCAGCCGGTACACACGTTTCATCCCCGCCCTATGCACCCCGCATCCTTTTTTCTGGTTGGCACACCTATGGCAGGCAAGGCAACGTTCTCCATGACCTCATGGCATAAGGAGGAGAATGGGAAATTGCCGTTTAGTAGTGAAGTCTTCGTGGATGCAGTCACGGCGTCCTTCACTCGGCCTACAACGAGCCAAATAGTCCTCCCGCTGAAGCTTTTGGCTTTTTGGCTGCATGGGGTAAGTGGACAGTGAGGAGGTGGTAGGTTGTGATCAGGCTTCATGAGAAAAGGGTAGTGCTGATAGGAAACTGAAGCATTTGTGACTCTCCCTTGGCATATGCCCTCTGCCCTCACCCCCACCACCCCCACTACTTCTCTTCCCCCTCTCCCCTCTCCCCACTTCCTCCAATTCCGTGTTCCCCCCACCTCACTTTGCCTATGCCCTTCAACCCTATCAGCCCATCTGACAAGCTCTCAGTGTCACACTTTGGGCAGCTACTAGTCGGACGAGGCGTTCTGAATATTTACCTTCCTCTCCATCTACCCCTCCCCTTCCTCCCCCACTAATCAGCCCATCTCCCCGAGCTCTCATTGTCACGCCTTCGCACCGCAACCAGAGGGTTTTCCACAGATCTTATTGACAGGTTCCGGAAGCGGATGGAGGAGGAGAATGCAAGACGTGCAGTCAAGGCGGCCGTCACTGCTTGCTTGCCACTGCTGCTGCTGCCGTCACTGCTTGCTTGCTACTGCTGCTGCTGCCGTCACTGCTTGCTTGCTACTGCTGCTGCTGCCGTCACTGCTTGCTTGCCACTGCTGCTGCTGCCGTCACTGCTTGCTTGCCACTGCTGCTGCTGCCGTCACTGCTTGCTTGCCACTGCTGCTGCTGCCGTCACTGCTTGCTTGCCACTGCTGCTGCTGCCGTCACTGCTTGCTTGCCACTGCTGCTGCTGCCGTCACTGCTTGCTTGCTACTGCTGCTGCTGCCGTCACTGCTTGCTTGCCACTGCTGCTGCTGCCGTCACTGCTTGCTTGCCACTGCTGCTGCTGCCGTCACTGCTTGCTTGCCACTGCTGCTGCTGCCGTCACTGCTTGCTTGCCACTGCTGCTGCTGCCGTCACTGCTTGCTTGCTACTGCTGCTGCTGCCGTCACTGCTTGCTTGCCACTGCTGCTGCTGCCGTCACTGCTTGCTTGCCACTGCTGCTGCTGCCGTCACTGCTTGCTTGCCACTGCTGCTGCTGCCGTCACTGCTTGCTTGCTACTGCTGCTGCTTATCACTGCTGCTGCTGTTGCTGCTGCTGCTCAGCTGTCTCTGCTTGCTACTGCTGGCCTGCTGTTGCTGCCGATTTCGTTGCTTGTGCTGCTGATGCTCACTGGTTTGCAGCCCCCGCGCCCTCTCCCCACTCATCCAGTCCTCCGCCTCGTTCCTTCCCCCCCTCCCTCGCCCCTTGATGTCCTCTGCAGGTCGTGTGGGCATTCTGGGAAGGAACCTGCCTGGGACTTTCAGGCAGCCTGGCTGCTTTTCCTTGCTGTTACTGCTGCTGCTACTGCTGCTGTTTCTTCTACTGTTGCTTCTGCAGCCCTTGTGGTGCTGGGTGTGTTGACCTAGCAGGGACCCTCTACGGAGCTTCGGGACTGCTGAAAACACGCACAACCTCTGTGCTGTGCTGCAACCAGGGGGGAGACTTGCAAACATGCATCACTTCCGCCCTGGCCATACTCCCCCTTCCCCATCCTCCCCTCCCCTCGCTTCCCCACGTTCTCCCACCTACCAGCCCATCTCCCTGAGTTCTCGGTGTCACGCCTTCGTGCCACAACCAGAGGCTTTTTCACGGAGCACGGTAGAGGGAGCCCATCAACCCATCAGCCCATCCCCACATTCCTCTCCTCCCCCCACTCCCCTCCCACCTTATCTATCCCTTTCCCGTCGTCCCTCTTCCCCTTGCTGGCACTTGTTTTCTTTCAAGTGCAGGTTGAACACCGAGTGCTCAACAACAACCAGGATAAATCCCGAGGCTCCAAAAAGAACCGCAACCAAATGGAGTTGTATTACTCCAATTTGCGCAACTGGGCAAGGGCTGCCATTGTGTCACGCACGGACGCCGACGGACCGTGGTGGAACGAGGCCGAAAATGCATGGGCCTTTTCCTCTAGCATTGTTGTGTTTATTAGCGCGGATGGCCTGAGTGATGTGTCACGTGCTCGTTGGTAGTGTCAGGTTTAGCTGATCCTGAAAACATTATTTATGCAGTAATGTACTGTTAGCATTTTGTTGTGTTCATATTAAATAAAAAACAAATTAGTATATCCGTAATAAATGTTGGGCTGAGATAGCCCCTTAGGATCTTTGCAAGGGATAACTCTAGGTGAAGTAGTTGTAATAGCGGAAGCGTTTAGTGAAGAATTTGAACCGACCTTGCACTGGTGTGTGAGAGCAAAGTTGATTGAATTAAACAAGCAAATACAAGGATTTATATAAGAGTACAGGGAATACGAATAGATAGGTAGATAACTGTATTGCTGTTGCGGTTCGATACAGTGCGACTCGGGCAACTGCTCTGTAACGAGTCAGTTGTGTGTCCTTAACTGTCGCGCTGTAATTGTCGAGTCAAAGGTCAGCGACCTTTGACTTTCTCGTAACCTCCAGGCGGTTACCCTAACCTCCGAGGTTGACTCGATGCTTCGATTGGGACTGCTTCGCTTGGTGCCTTGGGTTTTGATACGACAGAAGCGCACTTAGGACTTATTGTTTCCAACACCCCCCTTCGCTTCTGGAGTGTCGCTGCTGGTGACGTGGCCTTGTCCAGTCAGCATCATGCAGTATTCGAACTTCTGCTTTCCGAGTTTCTTGGTCAAGTAATCGGCTGCCATCTCGGATGTTGGGCAGTATGACAGATCGAGTTTCCCTTTTTCTATCTCGTCCTTCACGAAGAAATAGCGCAGGGCGATGTGTTTCGTCCTGTTTGCGAAGCCGTTTTTGTTGGCGATGCGAATTGCTGACTGGTTGTCGCAGAACACGGTGAAGCTGGGTAACTCGGCTAGCTTCGCTTCTTCCAGTAGTTCGCGAAGGTAAAGTCCCTCCTTGGTGGCTGAGCAGAGTGCAATATATTCTGCTTCTGCTGAAGATAGTGCGATTAACTCCTGCTTGCTCGACTGCCAGGAGATAGGACCGATAGGCTCAAGGCGGTAGACATAGCCGGTGCGTGAGCGCCTGTTGTCGGTGTCGCCGGCGTGATCGGCGTCGACGTAGCCGATTAGCTTAGTCGGTGTAGCTGCGCTCTTGTGGTAGGTTAGCCCGATCGTCGCGGTGCTGACGAAGTAGTGGAGAGCGCGATCAAGTTCCGCCAGGTGTTCAGCTTCATGCTTCTTGAGATAGGTGGCGAGCTGACTTGCGGAGTAGGATAAGTCAGGACGGCAGGTGACGGCGGCGAATAGCAGGCATCCGAGCTTCTTCTGATAGTCGCGTATGCCGGCGGGCTTGAGTAGAGTAGTTCGTTCCTTCTCGGTTCCTGATGTGTAGCGGTAAGGCGTGGAGATGGCGCTTGGTGTGAGGCTGAAGCGTTTCGCGATGGTGTCGGCGTATTTCTCGGCGCTTAGATAGATGGCGTTTTCTTCTTCGCGGATGTTGAGCCCGAGGTACTGTGTAACAGTGGAGGAGACCGTGAGCGTGAGGTCTTTCTGGAGCTCTCCTTCGAACCACGTGGCGATGCCGTTGGTTGACCCAATGTAGAGGAGATCGTCCACGTAGACGATCAGGAGAACGTAGTCGCTTCCCTTAGTGAGGCGGTACATGCCTTGGTCGTGAGGTAGTTGATTAAAGCCGATGCGGATGAGACGGGCGTGCAGGTACTGCTGCCACAGTCGCGGTGCCTGCTTGATCCCGTAGAGCGACTTAAGTAGTTGACAGATTCGGTTGGGTTCGCCGTGGGAACCGTGCGGGAGCTCGACGTAGATTTCTGCATCCACAGGTGCGTAGAGGAAGGCATTCGCGACGTCGATCTGCCGTAACTTCTTCTTCTTCATGGCGGCAATGGCGAGGAGAATTCGAAGTGACGTGTGGCGGCTGACTGGAGCAAAGGTCTCGGTGAAGTCTCGTCCTTGCTCTTGGTCGAATCCACGTACGACCCAGCGTGCTTTGAATTTTTCGATCGTGCCGTCTGCTTTCGTCTTGATGCGGAAGACCCATTTCCCGGTAAGGATGGTTTTGTTCCGTGCCACGCTTACGGGAACAACCTTCCAAGTGTTGCGTTCCTCTAATGCCTTCAGTTCTCTATCCATGGCTTCACGCCATTTCTCCCTGTGTTCCCCCCCCAGAGCCTGCTGAACCGTTGCAGGCTCCTTAGGAAGCGAGCTGCGTGTGTTCCCGTGGACTGCGGTGACGAGGCCGAGGATTTGCAGCCCAGTCTGTGAGTATCGAGGGAGTTCTGGGTCCTCGGGATAAGCTGCTTCGTCTCCCGCTTCTGGATCAGGGATGAAATTCGGTCCTATCCTTTCTGCTTCATTTGTGTTGACGGTTGCAGGTGTTACGTAACCGGTGTCGGCGAAGTGGTAGAAGACTTCGGCGTTGTTACTGTCGCGAGGATTTTCTTCGTCCATGGGCACGTTGACGGAGCAGTACGGGAGAGGTCCGGCTTCTGCCGATGCGTTGTCAACATTCTGCTCGTCCCAGTCTACTTCATCCGCTGCTGACGCGAAGGCTCGGTCACCACGAAAACCACTGGTGAGGTCCCGATTCTCGTGCAAGTTGGCGAGGTACGTCTGAAGGGTGAGTCTTTCGTAGAAGATCACGTCACGTGCTGCTACTGTTTCCTTTGTGTGGACGTCGAAGATTCTCCATGCGTTGTAATTTTTCTCGATGCCGAGGTGTAGTCCCCACTGTGCCCGTTGCGAAAATCTTCCCGCTCGTGCTTCTGGGGGTCTGTACTGTACCATGCACCCGAAAACTCGTAACATTTTCGTGCTGCCCTGCTTCCCTGTCCACAGCAGATGCGGTGATGCGTTGTTCGGGAGTGACGACGACGACAACAAGTTGTGCAGCATGACAGCGTGGTCCATTGCTGCTGGCCACTGGTGGTTGGGTAGCCGCATGCCACGTAACAGTTTGCGCATGCTGTTCTGCAGGGTCCTGTGTCAAACATTATATATGTTATACTTGTGTAGGCTACAGTGGGTTAGCCTATAGGGGGTACACAATTCTAGGGTTTACTACTTGTACTCTTTTCACTTCTAGTTCATCCATTCCTGTTCGCTTATTCTCACATGGTATAGAGCGGGTCCTTCTACGGACCGTTTTTTTGGGCCCACCGAAGCGCCCCCCGAGGCGCGATCTTTTTTTTTAGCGACCCCTCGGGTCGCCATTTCCCCTGCGGCCCCGCCGCCTTCACTGACGCGGCCCCGCCGCCCTCTCTGTCGCGGCCCCGCCGCCTGCTCTCACGCGGCCCCGCCCCGACTCCTTCGCGGCCCCGCCGCCTGCTCTCGCGCGGCCCCGCCCCGGCTTCTACGCGGCCCCGCCCCGGCTTTCACGCGGCCCCGCCGACGGCTTTGTCGCGGCCCCGCCCAGGCCCTTACGCGGCTCCGCCGCCTGCTCTCACGCGGCCCCGCCCCGGCTCCTTCGCGGCCCCGCCGCCTGCTCTCGCGCGGCCCCGCCCCGGCTTCTACGCGGCCCCGCCCCGGCTTTCACGCGGCCCCGCCGACGACTTTGTCGCTGCCCCGCCCAGGCCCTTACGCGGCCCCGCCGCCTGCTCTCACGCGGCCCCGCCCCGGCTCCTTCGCGGCCCCGCCGCCTGCTCTCGCGCGGCCCGGCCCCGGCTTCTACGCGGCCCCGCCCCGGCTTTCACGCGGCCCCGCCGACGGCTCTGTCGCGGCCCCGCCCAGGCCCTTACGCGGCCCCGCCGCCTGCCCCCGTCGCGGCCCGGTCACCTCCTGACGGCCCCGCCGTCCCTTCGTGACGGCCCCGCCGTCCCTTCCTGACGGCCCCGCCGTCCCCTCCTGACGGCTCCTGCCGTCCCCTTCTACCGGCCCCGCAACTGCACCTGCTGGCCCCGCCGCTGCACCTACCGGCCCCCCACCACCCACCCCCCCTTTTCCCGTCGCCTGTCGAGGCGACCTGAGGGGGCTGGCAGGTGTGTGGCCTCCCCTGCTTCTCCTCCTCCTTCATCTCCCACTGCAGCAGCCGAGCCGCTCACCTGCAGCAGCCGAGCCGCCCCTCCGCCGAGCCGCCCTGCACCCGAGCCGCCCAGCAGCCGAGCCGCCCTGCCGCCGAGCCGCCGGGTCGCTGAGCTGCTGAGCTGCAGTTGTTGCCGAGCCGCCCTGCCTCCGAGCCGCCGTGTCACCGAGCTGCTGAGCTGCAGTTGCTGCCGAGCCGCCTTGCCGCCGAGCCGCCCGAGTCGCCCGAGCCGCCGAGCCGCCGAGCTGCCGTGCCGCTGAGTCGCCGAGCCTACTCTTCCCACCACTGGTGAGCTCTTGCCCTGCTAGCACGCTGCGCGTCGCCTGCTTGCCTGCCTGCCTGCCTTTTGGCTTGCCTGGCTGCCTGCCTCCCTGCTGCTAGTCCTGCTCCTGCTTCTACTTGCGGAGCCAAATGCAGCCCCAGCGACGCCGGCGTGAGTCCCTCACGCCCCAGCAGCTGCGTGAGTGGTACGCTGGTTGGGGCTGTAGGGGTGGCGACGCTACTCCTACTACCACTCCTGCTGCTTCTACTCGTGGTGGCGGCCAGATGCAGCTCCCGCGACCCTCTCGCGTGTCTCTCACGCCTCGCCAGCTTCGTGAGTGGTACGCTCAGAGTGGAGGGTCTCTCAGTGCTGTTCGCTGCTCTTACGTGATTCGCACTGGTACTCGGACTGGTCAGCCTTGTGGGACACGTAGTCATACACCGTCCCGCTGCTTCGCCCGTCTGAGCGACGCCTGGCGTACCGTGTTTGGCGACGAGGCTGAGCTTCCCGACTGGGTGGAGTTGCTTAGGCAGAGGGTAGATATATATGCTCTTGACTATGATGCTATTCTCACTGCCATGTATGCATTGCCTACTAGTGCTGACCGTGCCGGTCACCTGTGCGTCCCGCCTGACCCAGGTATAGGACCTGCTGCTCTAGCTACTGGTGAGGCTGCTGCTCTGGGTGCTAGTGAGTCTCCTGCTCCAGGTACAGGTGCGGCTGCTGCTCTAGGTGCTAGTGAGTCTGCTTCCTCAGGTGCGGGTGAGGCTGCGCTCTCAGCTACCGCGTTGGCTTCGGCCTCCCTCACCTTTACACTTGACTCTGGGGCTTCTCGCTCCTTCTTTCGGGACCGCACCACACTCACGCCGCTTGGTCGGCCGGTTGCAGTCTCCCTGGCTGACCCCTCTGGGGGTCTTGTCCTCGCTCACTTCTCCACTGTCCTCCCGTGTCCGGCTGCCCCCTCGGGCACCCTGTCTGGCCTGTACCTCCCCTCGTTCTCGACGAACTTGGTGAGTGGTGCAGACCTACAGGATGCGGGGGTTCACCAGTTCACTCCTGCGAGTCAGCGGGTGACCCACTGCACGGACGCACGCACAGGCCGGCACCTGGCCACGTTCTCGCGTCGGCAGGGGTCGAGCCTCTACACCCTGACCACTGAGTCTCCTCCTGTCCCCGCGTCCGGTCAGGTAGCAGCGTCGGGTCAGGTGTTTGCTGCTGCGTCCAGGTCTGGCCCTGAGTCTGCCCCCTGTTCGTGTCGCCTCCTGTCTCACGAGACTCTTCTGTGGCACCACCGTCTAGGCCACCCCTCCTTGCCCCGTCTTCGGGGCATGGCTTCCCGTGTCCTTGTCTCTGGTCTTCCCCAGTCTCTCCCTCCCCTTCCTTCGGGACCAGGACCTTCCTGTGTCCCCTGTGTCGAGGGGCGCCTCAGGGCTGCTCCTCACTCCTCCCAGTTTCCCCCGACAGAGGCTCCTCTGCAGACGCTTCACATGGACGTGTGGGGCCCGGCCCCCGTCCGTGGGCAGGGTCACGAGCGCTACTTCCTGTTGGTGGTTGACGACTACTCGCGTTACACCTCAGTCTTCCCCTTGCGCAGCAAGGGTGCTGTCACTGAGGTGCTGATCGACTGGATCCGCGAGGCTCGTCTCCAGCTCAGGAGGAGCTTCGGCTCGGACTTTCCTGTTCTGCGTCTGCACTCTGACCGAGGTGGGGAGTTCTCCTCTCGCCTTCTGCGAGACTACTGTCGTGCACAGGGGATCCGCCAGACCTTTACGCTTCCGGACTCTCCACAGCAAAATGGGATTGCTGAGCGCCGCATTGGCATGGTCATGGATGTCGCTCGTACGTCCATGATGCATGCGGCTGCCCCCCATTTTCTGTGGCCGTTTGCGGTTCGGTACGCGGCGCATCAGCTCAACCTTCACCCCAGGGTCTCTCGGCCCGCGATGTCCCCAGTGTTACTGTCGACGGGGAAGGTCGGCGATGCGTCTGCGTTCCGTGTCTGGGGATCTCGGGCGTTTGTCCGCGACTTGTCTGCGGACAAGCTGTCCCCCCGTGCTGCTCCCTGTGTCTTCCTTGGCTTCCCCCCTGACGCTCCAGGGTGGCAGTTCTACCACCCCTCCTCTCGTCGTGTTCTGTCCTCCCAGGACGTCACGTTCGACGAGTCAGTCCCCTTCTACCGCCTCTTCCCCTACCGTACTCCTTCCCTTCCCCCCCCACCGGACTTCCTGGTACCAGTTCCCCCCCCGGTAGACCCCCTCCCCCCTCAGGTTCCTGCCCCTTCGGGTGTGTCCCAGGTAGACACGGTCGAGCCAGTCGAGGTTGCTGCTGAGTCTGGTCCTGCTGCGGGTACTGAGCCTGGGGGTGCTGCTGCTGGGGGTGCTGAGCTTGGGGGTGCTGAGCCTGGGGGTGCGAGGCCGGGGGGTGCTGAGTCTGGGGGTGCTGAGCCGGGGGGTGCTGAGCCGGAGGGTGCTACGTCAGGAGCTGCTGAGCCTCGGGGTGCTGGGCCTGGAGGTGCGGAGCCTGCGCCTGCTGGACCTGGGGGCTCTCCGGTTCTTCCGTCTCGGCGGGAGCCGCTCTCTCCACAGGAGCTGCGCG